TGATGGACCAACTTCGACTACTGAACCTCCTGAAGCACTTCCTGATGGATCGACTTCGGCTACTGAATCTCCAACAGTTCCTGATGGATCGACTTCGGCTACTGAATCCACTTCTGACTCTAATGAATCGGAAGAAAATTCTAATGAATCAGAAGGTACGGAATAGGATAAGTTGATCTTGGCTATGGTAGTCAGCAACATTTAACTGCACCAAACTTAGTAGATAGGATTATGCTTTATTCACTGTCAGATGATTTGCTTTGGTACTATGAATGGCAAATGATTCTAGACCAGGTTGATATTAGAAATGCTGACCAATGATTGGTAAACCGGCATTCCTAATCCAGTAAGTCTCATGGAAGTTTTAGACTTTTCATTTAGTTGACAAAGGAAAAACAAAAGAATCTTTAGAAAACGACTTTGAACAAATATTAGACACTATCGACTCCTTATTCCTTTTCAAGGTTTTTGTCAGTCATTGCATTCGTTGTAGACAATATCGATTCCGAAAACAGCCAAGATGTTCGTGATACCAGTAAACATGCCAGCAAATTATCTGCAGTATTAGAAGTGGAGCGTATGAGTTATAGACGAAAACGATTCTTGAATGGATCCGGACTGAAAATTAATCCTCTTTCTCTTTCTCAGAAGTTTCGTACTGAAGCGAATTCCACCAATGCTAATCGTTTCACATTAGATGTTGTTACTGATCAGGTTTTGAAATTTTCATGTCAAATTCAATTCATTTCATTGGCTTAATGAGTAACTTGTGTGTTTGATGACTAAAGGTTGAGTGGTGGGTAAAATCGTACACAGTTTAACATAGCTCCAGAAAAAAAAAACCAGAAACTTCGATCAATCCAACAAAATTAAACTTATTCATTTTATGTCATAAACATAATGGTGACGCAGTAATCAAAATTCAAGAAATGTTTTCAGCTGGTGATTTTCGAACGAGACGAGATGAATCAAATAGGATCACCCGAAGTGTCACGCGTATCATGCGAGGTACTACGAAATGGGATTCTTTTGCAAAATGTAGTCTTCATTCTTCTAACAGGATTCCTTCTAACTATCATTTTCATTCAGCAACTTTGTTACAGTAAACGCATGATCAAATGTGGTCTTGTTTCAAGTTCTGAAAGGAATGCTGAGAGTGACAAATTTGAGGGGGTTCTATAGTCTGGAATCGGATTTGAAAATGCTCTGAAACGTCTCATTGTCCCCACTACTTTATCGTCCTATTATCGATCTTTTCAATATCGTTTTAAAACCTGTTTAATAAGCGTTCGTCTTTTAATCTAACACTTGTTTACCCGGTCAAGTTTTCCGCTTTATTTCACTCGCTTCAATTTTTTTTTTAAATCGACGTTTTTGCCAATTTTTATCCTAAAAATCTATTTATTTCTTTCCTATAATGACTTCTCTTGCAATAATGTTTGTTTTAGTCCTATAACAAACAAATAATCACTAATGTATTCAAATAAATTGGAATAACAAATATAATCTTTTCGGCTTCATGCATAATGCACTACATACTCTTTATGTGTTGTATTATCAAACTCCACTAAAAGGGTCGTTTGATTTCACAATTTTGCGATTTCATCAGATAAACTGGTTCGGAAATACATAACTTACCGTTGTTTTTTTTTCTTTTTTTTTGTAGCACATCAATCAAGACAAATGGACGAAGGAATTAAATATGGGAAAATTCATTATTTGACTTTATCTGTTTGGAAGTTTCGTAACTGGTGGGATGTCTTTGCAACTGAAATCAAAAACGAAAGCTGCTCACTCGGACATGTGTTTCTATTGTACTGTCAAAATTAAAGTCGCTTTCTCGACTTAATCTACAGCAGATTAAGAATTTGGAATGCATGCTTACAAAATAGCTAGACATGAAGAG